ATTTACCGATTAGAGTTAAATTCTAACAAAAAAAATATGATGCAGCCTAGACAACATTGTTTAATGGCGAGCTGGTGTGGAGATAATACCCATTCATTGTCGCAGCACAGATGGCTTCATTCTAAGTATTACATCTCTCAGTTGAGCATTCAACCAAGCCAAGAAACGTGGCCTTCGGGTCTGTGGAATCATACTATCAAACCCTTCTAATCCTGATGAGATAATCGAGGGGATATGACTAATTATTTCACTGATAAGATAATCGAATGATCAATGTTCAGCTTTGATAAATATATGTATTCAACTTTATCTAGAAAATGTTCATCTCGTTCTAAACGATGTTCAACTTGATCTGAAAGATGTTCAAATTAGACGTGTTGTTGACAAAAACTAGTAAAAAACGAGCTAATTTAACATCTAAGAAGATATTAGATGTGTTCATCTTATAATTTAACATATTCAGCTGGTAATAAAACATATTCATCTTATAACATAACATTTTTATCTTATAATTTGACATGTTCATTTTACAAAGAAACATATTTATCATGTTAAGAAACATATTACGTACAAAATCAACATATACATCTTGTACAAAATTAACATATTCATCATGTTAATAAACATGTTCATCTGACAAAGAAACATGTTCATTTTATAATTTAACATATTCAGCTGATAATAAAACATATTCATCTTATAACATAACATGTCTATCTTATAAGTTGACATGTTCATTTTACAAATTAAATAAATATTACTGAAACAGTTATCTTAATTGATAGGATATTTATGCGCAAATAAACTCTTAATTCATTTAAGAATCTTAAGATATTATCAATAAATAAAATATTTAATACATTAAAATTTTAATTCTATATTTAGCGGTCATCTTAAAAATCAATGACTCAAATAAAGTGATAATAATTAAGAGAGATCATGATATTTTTTAGTTAATTATTGAATGAAAACGTTCAAATATTTTAAGTCTTATAATTTTACATATTCAACTGATAATAAAACATATTCATCTTATAACATAACATCTGCATCTTATTATTTGACATGTTCATTTTACAATGAAACATATTCATCATGTTAAAAAACATATTACGTACAAAATCAACTTATTCGTCGTGTTAATAAACATGTTCATCTGAGAAATAAACATGTTCATCTTATAATTTAACATATTCAGCTCATAATAAAACATTCATCTTATAACATAATATTTTCATCTTATAAGTTGACATGTTCATTTTACAAACTAAATATATATTGCTAAAACAATTATCTTATTTGATAGGATAGTAATGCGCAAATAAACTCTCAATTTATTAAGAAAACAATAAATCATTTAAGAATCTTAAGATATTATCAATATATAAAATATTTAATACATTAAAATTTTAATTCTCACTATTTATTTAGCGGCCACCTTGAAAATCAATGACTCAAATAAAGTAATAATAATTAAAATAACATGATATTTTTAGTTAATTATTGAATGACAAATTTCAAATATTTTAAGCCTTATGGGGGGTTTCCAAGTCCACGGCCAAGTACTTATTACCTCTTGGGTTGTAATTGCATTTATCAAACGAAAAGTGGATTTGGCCCCCAGAAATGTGCCGATGCCATCCACTTTCGTAGGGTAATTTAACATATTCAACTGATAATAAAACATATTCATCTTATAACATAATATCTTCATATGATAACTTGACAAGTTCATTTTACAATGAAACATATTCATCAAAGACATATTACGTACAAAATCAACTTATTTATCGTGTTAATAAACATGTTCATCTGAAAAAGAAACATGTTCATATTATAATTTAACATATTCAGTTGATAATAAAATATATTAATCTTATAAAATAACACGTTCATCTTACAAAGAAACATATTCATTTCACAAATTAAATAAATATTACTGAAACGGTTATCTTATTTGATAGGATAGTTATGCGCAAATAAACTTTCAATTTATTAAGAAACCATAAATCATTTAAGAATCTTAAGATATTATCAATGAATAAAATATATAGTACATTAAAATTTTAACTCTCACTATTTATTTAGCGGCCATCTTGAAAATCAGTGACTCAAATAAAGTGATAATAATTAAGATATCATGATATTTTTAGTTAATTATTGAATGACAAAGTTCAAATATTTTAAGTCTTATAATTTAACATATTCAGCTGATAATAAACATGTTCATCTTATAACATAACATTTTCATCTTATAATTTGACATGTTCATTTTACAAAGAAACATATTTATCATGTTAAAAGAAACATATTACGTACAAAATCAACATATACATCTTGTACAAAATTAACATATTCATCGTGTTAATAAACATGTTCATCTGACAAAGAAACATGTTCATTTTGTAATTTAACATATTCAGCTGATAATAAAACATATTCATCTTATAACATAACATGTCCATCTTATAAGCTGACATGTTCATTTTACAAATTAAATAAATATTACTGAAACAGTTATCTTAATTGATAGGATAGTTATGCGCAAATAAACTCTCAATTTATTAAGAAACCATAATCATTTAAGAATCTTAAGATATTATCAATAAATAAAATATTTAATACATTAAAATTTTAATTCTATATTTAGCGGTCATCTTAAAAATCAATGACTCAAATAAAGTGATAATAAGTAAGTAATATCATGATATTTTTTAGTTAATTATTGAATGAAAAAGTTCAAATATTTTGAGTCTTATAATTTTACATATTCAACTCATAATAAAACATATTCATCTTATAACATAAAATCTGCATCTTATTATTTGACATATTCATCATGTTAAAAAACATATTACGTACAAAATCAACTTATTCGTCGTGTTAATAAACATGTTCATCTGAGAAATAAACATGTTCATCTTATAATTTAACATATTCAGCTCATAATAAAACATATTCATCTTATAACATAACATGTTCATCTTATAAGTTGACATGTTCATTTTACAAATTAAATAAATATTGCTGAAACAGTTATCTTATTTGATAGGATAGTAATGCATAAATAAACTCTCAATTTATTAAGAAAACAATAAATCATTTAAGAATCTTAAGATATTATCAATAAATAAAATATTTAATACATTAAAATTTTAATTCTTACTATTTATTTAGCGGCCACCTTGAAAATCAGTGACTCAAATAAAGTGATAATAATTAAAATATCATGATATTTTTAGTATAATTATTGAATGACAAATTTTAAATATTTTAATTCTTATAATTTAACATATTCAACTGATAATAAAACATATTCATCTTATAACATAACATCTTCATCTGATAATTTGACAAGTTCATTTTACAATGAAACATATTCATCAAAAACATATTACGTACAAAATCAACTTATTCATCGTGTTAAAAACATGTTCATCTGAAAAAGAAACATGTTCATATTATAATTTAACATATTCAGCTGATAATAAAATATATTCATCTTATAAAATAACACGTTCATCTTACAAAGAAACATATTCATTTCACAAATTAAATAAATATTACTGAAACAGTTATCTTATTTGATAGGATGGTTATGCGCAAATAAACTTTCAATTTATTAAGAAACCATAAATCATTTAAGAATCTTAAGATATTATCAATAAATAAAATATATAGTACATTAAAATTTTAATTCTCACTATTTATTTAGCGGCCATCTTGAAAATCATTGACTCAAATAAAGTGATAATAATTAAAATATCATGATATTTTTAGTTAATTATTGAATGACAAAGTTCAAATGTTTTAAGTCTTATAATTTAACATATTCAACTGATAATAAAACATATTCATCTTATAACATAACATCTTCATCTGATAATTTGACATGTTCATTTTACAATGAAACATATTCATCAAAAACATATTACGTACAAAATCAACTTATTCATCATGTTAATAAACATGTTTATTTGAGAAAGAAACATGTTCATCTTATAATTTAACATATTCAGCTGATAATAAAACATATTCATCTTATAATATAACATGTTTATCTTACAAAGAAACATATTCATAATGTTAAGAAACATATTACGTACAAAATCAACATATACATCTTGTACAAAACCAACATATTTATCGCGTTAATAAACCTTGAGAAAGCAACATGTTCATCTGGTAACAAAACATGTTCATAGATAACCACGAGTTTATATGTTTGGATCTGTCATGTTCATGTTCGGAGGATTGTATCCAGCGCCTCTAGGATCATGTTGAAAATTTTAGTTAGGATGAAAAGGATGCACAAGTCGTCCAACAAACTCAGGATTTATAGAATAGACCCGATTAAACATGGTCTTCCTATATCCCGTGCAAAATCTACCCAAACATATTAGCATAAAGCAAAGTGGAAAACAAATCATATTATTATAATAAAAAAAAAAAGTTAAGCTTAAAATCAATCTCTACTCACTTGACACTATGCTGATCCTAACTACTAAACTTTTGCAGCTGATGGACATAAGCACATTCATTTGTGTGACTTAAAAAATCAATCTTACTCACCTGATCTTCATATCAAAAAGTATAAAGATCTACTTTTCTATAGGCAGACTATACAGACACAAATGTTTTAGCAATAGGTGCTCAACAAAGACCAGCTCAACAACAAAATTACACATAAAGATTGTTTGGCCACCCATAGACAAGAACATATGAATCGGGCTAGAAGACGTTACCAGGTATATCTGCAACCCATAGCATTTATCAATGCTAACCGGAAATGGTCATCTTATTAATTGAAGTCTAAAGGAATGACATTCCCCCTCAAAGAAGATAATGGAAAATCACAAAACAATACAGACAAAACACAACTAGAATAAACTAGGGGATTTCATAAGCCCTCCTAGAAAAAGAAAAAAAAACACACATCTGTCACAGTATCAAGCAGTCCCGGATTACTTCACACTCGCGAAAGTGAAACACACTTTTGTTTATTTCTTCCTCTTGTATATCTTGGCTAGGAAGGACTTCAGCACGGCCTGCACGGGTTTTCTTGGAATAGCCTTGATGGAGCTCGTGAGTCTGTCATAGCTCTTAGCTTCGTACTCAAAAAATATGCCCTGTAGATTAAGCTCATGGTAGAGGGCTTTGATTTTCGAAACATCTGCTGGATTATCCTTTCCGTAGTGCTCCTGGTTTAAAGGAAAACATGTCCAAAATGTTCATACACAGACACACATGAACTAATAGCAATAACGAAAAATTGAGGAAAGAACAATCAGTGCAGAGGCTTCTTAGTTCTTACATACAGAATTTTCTTTTGTTCTTCATTACAGAGCTCCAGGGCTTTCACAACCAGCGAAGAGCACTTGAAGTCCTCAATATTTGTTCCAATCTGATGATTCACAAAACAAATTCAGAAAACATGCCAGTCAAATAAAGAATAGTTTTATACATTTGTAAGCCCGAGGGAGAGCTCAACAACTCACCTTTCCGATCTTTTCAGGTTCACCAAAGCAGTCCAAGTAGTCATCCTAAACAGATAAATCAAGTACCAGGAAAGGGAATTAACACACACACACACACACACACATTGGGATTACATTGCCCGTTCAACCGGGGCTCTGCACAATGCCTGTTCAGACTACCGTGGCGTCTTACACCTCATCGTATCCATGTCCCCCATTCCCAATTTTCGATCTCACTGACCATTTTCGACCCTCCGCCAACCCCACAAGTGAGACCTCACTCCCGAACCTAACCACCTCACCTAGCCTAAACTTGTCGGCAAAATCTCTCAAATACTCAAAAACCTAACCGTGACCTGGAAACCTCCTCGGATCTCTATCGGGCTTCCCGCTAGCCACGAATGGGTAGGCCCGGAAGCCCATGACCTTCCGGCAAGTTCGTCTGCAAAGGGGCGTAGAGACTAGAGTGGATGACTTTTCGGGTCGGATCGAGTCCCATCGGGTCGGCCTCTGTTTTCTGGTTTGTAGGCTCAGGTCCCCCCAACCTGGGTTGCCCGCTCGTAGACGACGACGGTGCGGCCTTCTTTGCTGAAGTTCCATGGCGGCAAAGAGGCCAGCAGCGCCGGCACCGATGACGGCGACGGTTCTTGAAACAAGATGAGAGGAGAGATAGGTCGACGATTGTTTTAATTCAAAAAATAAATTTGTAGGATTGGAATCATAATATATATTTTTAGGGGTGTGATGAAATTGTTTTTAATTTGTAGGATTGTTATATAAATTAGATAAGTATGTGGGGGCTTGAGAATAAATAAAATAGGTACATGATGTACGGAGGATATAATAGGTTTTAACCAGTACAAGGGGTACAAGACAAGGTACAAAGCTACCAAAATTCTTTTTTGCCTTGTACCCTTGAATCCATCGTTGATGTTCATTTTTTAGTCAATCCAACGGTGAAATAAGGGGGTACCTGATAATAAGTAGGTACAAGAGGTATCTGACCCTAGAAGGTCCCTAGTTAGTTAAATTAGTAGTCAGATTAGTATTAGTTAGCGTAAGTTTAATTGTTAGTGGTTAGGATATATATATTTAGTTAGATTTGTTAGTTTAGGTATTGTTAGTGGCGTGAGTTAGTTTATATATAGAATTAGCCGTAGGTAGTTAGTAGAATTTTATATTAGATAGGTTAATAGTTTTAAGTAGCCGTGAGGAATAATACTCACGTGGGCTAATTAGTTTTGTTAGGAGTTTATTTATTTTGTTAAGTCTTGGGATGCAAGACATTTAGTTACCTTAGGACTAGATATTATTGCCTAGTTAGAATTATAAATCTTATAGGACTAGATCTAGTTTCTCCTATAAATACCCATGTACTCTTATTATTTTTCATGTCGAAGAGTTAATAGAAAATCGTTCGCAAGAGCAAAACCGTGTGTTTAAGATTCGTGAGAGTTTTATCATACAAACCGAGATTAGTAAGGCTAAGACCCGAGCTATCTCAATTATCGTGAGAAGATTAGGCTAATAACCGAGTCGTCCACACCTATCGTCAAGAAAGAAGCCTTGGCAAAGCTTAGTTCGAGACAAACGAGTTGAGCGGGATACACGATCTTCATCACTGCTGCCCAGCGTTGCGCCCGCGCACCCGTCTCTGCGCGCATGTCTGCGCGCGCCTTGTTCCGCTACCCGAATTTGAGACCACCTATGAAAGTCCCGATGAGCACAGAAATCGGTCAGTTGCGCACCCGACAGGCGAGTCGCTCGAACTCCTTCATGTAGTCCCGAAGACTCCCCATCTGCTTGATGTGTGAGAGCGCCTTGTCATAGCTGTGATAGTCGGATGACCCAAATAGAGCAAGTAATTCGCGCTCGAATTCTTCCCATCGGATGTGGAGCGGGTTGCCTTGGTAGCTGCTCACAAGCCATTGCCACCATACGTTGGCTTCCCCATCAAGATAGTAAGCAACGTACCTTACACGGTCATTCCCATCAGTCTCATTAAGCTCGAAATATTGCACAGCTCGGTTGAGCCATGCGTTAGGATCTGTGCTGGTGAAGGTGGACAATGTGAGTCGTGGTTTGACGGGCTTCGGCCGGTCATAGTCGTTGGACGCCTGGGATCGCCGGTCGAAGTCCTCCTCTTGATCTCGCTCCTCGCGTTGCTGCTCACAGTCCTCTTCTCGATCGCACTCCTGGCGTTGTTCGTGATCGGCGTGTCTGAGATGCTCGCGCCTCGGAGGTGCGTCGAACTGTCGTGGTTGTTGCTGCTGGAACGCCCGCAGCACTTCTTCTAGGCGTTTCTCGAGTCGCGCCACCGCCGCGTTGGTATTGTTTTGGCCTTCATCGAGTGATCCAAGCCTTCCTTCCATAACTTCGCTCATACTCCTGACTTGAACATCGAGATTATTGATTTTGTCCTTCATCTCCTTGTTGGCCATGGCTTTCTTTTCTTGCTTGCGTTCTTTACTTCGAGGACTCGTGATGAAATAGATTTTTTTTTGATAGGGGGGACGAAAAAAGAAGAACAAAAAGAAAGGGAATGGGGTAGGAGAAAAACACACGATCTAGCACCTCTCAATGAAAGCACCAATGATGAAGATCGTGTGTTTCGATTGCTGATAAGCCACAAACAAGTGCCTTGAATCCCCGATAGATGCCTAGAGGTTCACAAACCGCACCCCTCTAAACGAATAAAATTGCAATAGAAATTAAAAGAAATCTAAGACAAAGTGTCTGAACAAAAGTTCGGATTTTTATTGATAAATTCGATGATGAAAAATAACATAGGGAAGGGGCCTTTATATATGTACAAAATATATCTAGTCCTAATCTACCTAGGGAATTATTAAAGCAATAAAATATTAGAAATCCTAATTATGCTAGAAATTATTAAGCAATAAGGAAACTAAATAACTTGGCTTGCACTCTAAGTTGGGAAGAAGGATCTAGGGAAAATTCAGCTCAAAAGGCTTCTAGAAGTCCCACTTTCTTGCTGGCCAAGTCTGTCCGCGCGCTGCCCCTGGCTGCTGCCCATGCGCGCTGCTGCCCTGTGCGCGCGTGCACGCTACTGCCCTG